AAGTACATGAAATAAATTGTGTTGAGTCATTAACTCAAAGTTTTTTTGAAAAATGTTTTATGGAAAAAGAATTATATACATTAGAATATGTATCTAATAATAAGTCTGAAAATATAGGAAATCCAAAATGTGAAAGTTTGTTATCTAAATCTGTAGAATCCAATATAAAAGCCTTTAAGCCATATTTAAAACCCCTTTCAACCAATTTGAAATATGTTTTCTTAGAAAAAAATGAAATTCATCCTGTAATCATATTAGCAAAATTATCTGAAATTCAAGAAAAAGAATTAACAAAAATATTGAAAAATCATCAAAGTGTTCTTGGATGGACAATAACTGATATAAAAGGTATAAGCCCACTTCTATGTACTCATTGTATATATTTAGAAGAAAATGCTAAACCATCTCATCAAATGCAAAGAAGATTAAATCCACACTTGAAAGAGGTAGTTCGCAATGAAGTACTTAAACTATTAGATGCAAATATTATCTAACCTATATCTGATAGTAAATGGGTTAGTCCTGCACAAATAGTCTCAAAGAAGTCTGGTGTTACTGTAATACAAAATAAAGAAAATGAATTAGTCCCAATGCGTATAGTCACAGACTGACATGTATGTATTGACTATCGTAAGCTAAATTCGCTCACTAGAAAATATCATTTTTCATTGCCTTTTCAAGATCAAGTACTAGAAAGAATAGCTAGTCATGCATATTACTATTTTTCAAATGGATATTTTGGTTATAATTAGATTGAAATTGTGATAGATGATAAAAAAAAAAACTACATTTACATGTGCTTTTGGTACTTTTGCATATAAAAAGATGTCTTTTGGACTATGTTATGCTCCAACTATATTTCAGCATTGTTTGTTAAGCATATTCAGTGATATGGTAGACCGATGTTTAGAAGTTTTTATGGATGATTTTTCAGTATATCGGGATTCATTTCATATATGTTTGAAAAATCTTGAGAAAGTGCTCATTTGATGTGAATAAACAAACCTTGCATTAAATTGAGAAAAATGTCATTTTATGGTTACACAAAGGTATTGTTCTAGGTCATGTAGCGTCTAAAAAAATAATTGAAGTTGATAAATCAAAAATTGATCTGATAGCTAATCTGCCTTTACCAAAAACAGTAAAAGATATTCGCTAGTTTCTAGGTCATGCAGGATTTTATAGAAGGTTTATAAAAAATTTTAGTTCAATATCCAGAACTATATGTAATCTTCTATGTCAAGATACATTATTAGAATGGAATAACGCATATCAATTTGCATTTGATAAATTAAAAAACATGTTTATTCCAACACCGATTATGCAACCTCCTAATAGGTTTTTACCTTTTGAATAAATGTGTGATGCAAGTGATTATATATTAGGAGAAAGATAAGAAACCTTACGTTATATATTATAAAAGCAAAACCTTGAATGAAGCGCAAATGAACTATTCAACTACAGAAAAAAATTACTTTCTGTTGTATTTGCATTACATAAGTTTCATTCAAATTTGGTTGGATCGTCAATTATTGTATTTATAGATCATGCAGCTTTAAATTATTTACTTACTAAAAAGGATGCTAAACCACGTCTCCTACGTTGGATATTATTACTGTAAGAATTTGATTTAATCAGCAAAGATAAGAAAGGAGTAGAGAATGTGGTAGCAGATCACTTGTCAAGGCTAAATTACGAAATAAAGGAAGAACAAACTCCGATTAGAGAAAATTTTCTAGATAAACAACTATTAACAGTAACAGAAGTACCATGGTATGCAGATATAGCTAATTATTTAGCCATTGATACTATTTATTCTCAGTATACCTGATCTGATAGAAATAAGTTTCTAAGTGAGATACGTAATTTTTTCTGAGAAGATCCTTACTTGTTTAAATATTGCAAAGATCAAATAATAAGACGATGTGTACCTAATTATGAAATAAGTCAGGTGATTCAGTTCTGTCACTCTGAAGCTTGTGGAGGTCATTTTGCTTCAAAGCAAATCGCTGCTAAAATTCTGCAGTGTGGATTTTATTGGCCAACTCTATTTAAAGTTGTTCATATATTTTGTTTGAATTGTGACAGATGTTAAAGAATGAAAAATATTTCAAAAAGAAATATGATGTCTTTAAACCCTATTTTAATCATTGAAATTTTTGATTGTTGGGGCATCGATTTTATGGGTCCATTTCGCCCATCTTCTAGATATCTGTATATTTTAGTTGCAGTTGACTATGTCTCTAAATGGGTAAAGGCAATTCCATGTCAAAATAATGATCCTATAATAGTGATCAAAATTTTGAATGAAAATATTTTATCCAGATTTGGAATTCCTTGGACCATTATAAGTGATGGTGGATTATATTTTTGTAATAGAGTTTTTGACAATCTTATGAAAAAAATACTCAATTTCACATAAAATATCCACTCCATACCATTCACAGACAAGTGGACAAACTAGATTAGCTAATAGGGAGATAAAATATATCTTAGAAAAAACA